TTCCCAGAAGACAATATATATTTAGGTCGTGCCAGCATTTATAGGTCCAGTTAAGATAATAAATGATCAAACATTAAAAAGCAGGCTGGAGCGTTTAATCTTGACAAATAATTGATGATTAATAGAATAAGAAATCGCCTGGAGAATTATTTTCTACACTGCGATTAATATCTGAAATTCAATCCTGAACCAAATGTTTGCAGAACGCGGTGAAATGAACGCGAGTGTTGACGAGGGCTGAATTCTTACCAGGTAAATTGGGTTGAAACAACGTTGAATTAACGCCGATTCAACCAAATAATGTTTAATTCAACGCCGATTTAACCTAACAATGTTTAATCCAAAGTAGATTCAACGTGTGATGTCTGCTAGGAAAGTAACCCTGGACGTAAACCTCATTGCCAATTAACGATTATAAGGCGCAGCGTGAAGCTGCAGCTTCACCTGAATTTTTGATAGCTTCATCAGAACCAAACAAAGAGGGAATATTAAGTACGCTCGAATTTAAGGCCTCGCATTACTTATTTAATGGCTCATATTTACCCTTAACTTGAGGGCTACTTAAGGTAACCAAGCTTCAGCGGTGCTTAGGATGAATCAGTGAGAGATAACGAACCAGGTCAGTGCAATTTACTGACTAATCATGTCAGGCAAAAATATTTTAAGAGTAGCTCTAAACATTGTGCTGGGCTCTTAACTCTTATTAAATTTAGTTGAGCCATGAGTCTCAGAGTTCGAATAAACCGTTCATAGTCGAAATTATAGAACATCAGCATGGATTATAAAAGATAATGATCTTCCTAAAACATTTTCATCGCAAATCCCATAAATCCTTCCTCCTCCGCATATAAAATGAAAGCTAATTCTAGATAAGATTGCGTGTTTACTTATTTTTCTTAAAGATTTCGTTAGAAACATGTTCATTATTGTGTGATAATGAAAATCATGACGTTTCGGAGGAGCTCCGAACATGGCACAAACTTCAGTCAACATCTATCGGATTAAACTTGTTTTCCTCCCATAAAAATATCCCTCTGTTTTTTTAGAGCAATCCTGGTTTACGACTGAGGTGTCGAGTTTAATGGTCGCTCGCCTCTTTCAACAACAAGATATTTTTTGGAGTTAAAAGTACCTAAAACATCGTAGGGACGAGTTTTCAAAGGCTTCTTCTAACTCTCTAATGAAATATATAACCGAGTGATCAAAAAATGTAAAAATTTACCTAACCCAAATTTCGAGAGTTTCGCCGGCTTTTCAAAGCAGATCGAGTTTGGAACGCGTGCATGAAACGTCCGTGACATCTCGTGACCAATATTTTAGGCGAGGAGGTCCGCTGGTGAATAGCACGCTGCCAAATGATTTTTCATCGTTCCAGGTGCTGTTGTAGATGCACAAGTAGAATTTTTTCTTGTTCAAACTGGTGAATCAATAGAAATAGTTTGTTAATTTTGATAATATGATCAATACAGTAAGCCACACGTATGCGGTTTAGTTGGGATGACCTGATTTTTAGGTCAGGTAAGCGCTATTACCCAACGCTCGCAACAGCGCCTTCATCTTATTGAATCTTTCAACCAAGACATGAGCGTTAGATTTCCATGCATTGCTTATTTTAAGGGTCGAAATAATCAGTAGTTTTGTAACAAATTCAACCCACAGTAAATTGAAATAATTATTATTGATCCGGGATTCCAGGCCTGATTAATCTGATTTGATTTACTGTAAGAAAGTATTTTTTTCCCTGTGTGTGATTTTTTTTCATCAACTTGCGAGAGCGGATTAAAATTATAACATGGGATTTCGTCGTTGACAACACACTGGCATAGATTAAGAACTCTAAGTTAGGTAACATGTTATGGAGAAACTGTATTGTAAGATTTTTCTTTTTCTTCGGTGTCAGTTGTAAAAAATTTAATAGTCATATCATATCTAAGCCAACGCAGCATCTACAAGTTGACTCGAGCGTTTCAATTTTAAAAAAGCTATAAATAAAGAAACATTTTTATTCCATCTTCTATGAACATTTTTTTGACATCTCTATTCCATCTTCTATAGAAACTAAAATATTTGTTAAAGCTCTTCCAACATAGGAAAGTCGTTGTCAGCTTTTTAAAGATTTACACCTGTAATTTTCTGAGATTTCAAAGACGGTAGTCGAAGAAAAGGAATTATTTATGATAGACACACAACAAGGTTCTTGAGGGTGTCACGGAATTTAAATGCACGACTCTTTACATTTTGAACTGTTTGCAATTACCCAGAAGGATTTAATAGAATACAGAGGCAGCTTTATACCTTTAGCCCATTCAAAAGAAATCGAGACCAGCTGAATATCATTGTCTGAAAGATATTCATATCATATCAGCTGAATAAATTCAGTAACCCTACAATGAAATGCTGTCCTGCTGGGAAAATGCCATTTTTATTTCTCCGTAAAATACAAGCTATGGGGTAGCTGGAAAATTTGTAATACAAATTTTGTTACTAGTAGGTTAATTGTCGCTGAGAAGCGATGAGAGTGAATGATTAGCAATGAACTAAATTCCCATTGCAAAATGTTCGATTGCTATTTTTCAAACACAGTTAATTTCCACCATGATGAATTTCTCCGTCTGAAAGCTACATAAGCGGAGTTTCTCAGTGAGCAGAAACAGTGTCATCATTCATCACAATAAAGCTTGTCCGCATGATGCTAGACTCAGGACCTTGGCGACCAAAAATCTCTAGGAAGAGTTTCACAATATTTCTCCAACCTTTAAATTCTTCTGACACCATCTTTACTCCTTCCACTTACTTCGATGACTTAAGACGCATTTTCATGGCTTAAAATTTACGCCAGGATAACAGATGGAAACTAAACGTGTTCGACATTCAGCCTCAATACCTCATAAAGTTCACGAGCGAGGCCTTTTTAAGCTTTTGATAGATATGATGAAAACACAGGAATTAAATATATTTTTACAGTGAAAATAAATAAGCATGATTATTTACATACAAGTGTAAATAACTCTTGTATGTAAATTAATTCAAGTCAATTGTTCATTGTCATTAATTTTATCATAATCTTGAAATTATATTTTTCACCCTGTCTAAGTCGTAATTTAAATTTTTCAGGTCAGGGTTGATGCTGTAACTGCGCAACACCGCAGTCTGCTGTTGTCCAGGGTTCCGCTACGTGGGTGAATGTGTGTGTGTGTGAATCTTTCGTTGACCTGAAATTTTACTATCTGAAAATTTGGTACTCTACCAGAGTTTATTGAGTGGCGGTAAAATCATAGACTGAAAATTTTCGTTCGTGTCCGTTTTTACGTTATTCATAGTTTCCGTTCAGTCAATTGTTTTTTTAATTTGGGTTAAAATCATGCAGTTAACAGGAATACTATCATGCACCCCCTTCACCTTAATCGACGTTAGCTTTATGGTGTTGCTTAGGTTAGATAGGACTTGGGAATCATTCCTTGCATTTGGTTATTAGAGGTGGGTTGAGAGCGATATTTTATCTCTATCTTGACTGGATAGAGATTGTCTCAGGCTACGTACTGAATGTTCCCGGAATTGTTCACTGGGCCAGGAGTTTGGAGGGGAATAGATCTCTCAGAAACCAAGGCAGCCTATAAATCTTGGAAATCAGGATGCAACAGTTATTAACTAAAATCCACTTGCATTTTACCCAAAAAATTCCGGAACTTTTGTATTTTAAAGAAATATTCGCTCCCAATGAACCACTAGGCACTAAGCCTTGACTGCCAAATTAATCAACTGCGAATGGAACACCATACGCACACTTCCCCAGAGGATGGGTCATTCAGTTTTTTGGAAAAGGAGCTCCTTTTACGGCTGGGAGAGTGGACGGAAAATTCAAAGGTTTCCCGTGATATCGGCTGTTTAATTCGTACTAGAATATCTTTTAGGTTTACGACTTGAAGTCTGCAGTTTAAAGTTAAAGTTTTCCTAGTCTGCGGAAAATAGGAAAATGGAAAGCGTTCTAATAAAATTTAGATTTATATGAATTCTATTGGGGTTAATCGTAACTCTTGATTTCAGGAAGTTTTTAATTATTTTTACTATCGCGTCCTCTGTTTATTGATAACCCGTATATGTTGGGAGCTCTCCTATAACAATGCCACTCTAGCCTCCGCACAAGCCCAATCACAATTTCAGCGAGGATTGAAAACGTGATAAATGTCGTCTGCTATCGTAATTCGATCAAGGGCATATCATCATCAGGCCTACCGATCGCCGCAAATGTTGAACAATCGAAGTTATTCATCCAAATTTATACTCGTGGAAGTTGTTTGCTTATGATTCAGATTTCTCTGTAAACTACCGTTCGCAGAAAGAAACTGGACCATCGTCCTTACTGTAGGAACATCAACTTTTTCACAAGAATTTTATTTTAATGTATGTATTTATTTATTTTCAAAGTTTCTGATTTCTTTCGTGCTTCTTTTCGTATCTAAGAAAATCTATTCCGAACCATTTTAACCGAAATGTTACAAGTCGAATTCTTCAACGGAATTGCCATAAGACTACGTATGGAACTAATATAAAGTGTACACAACAAAGATCGAGAATGTGCTCTGACCTCCTAATTGACAATCCAATAATGAACCACGGGGCACAGAGCGCATTGCAGGGCCCGAGGGATAGTGATCGCTGAAATTCGTATGAACTCTTTTACTTTTCAGAGTATTGAAAAGAGAAAATTTTGATGTTTAAACGGAATATATGTCCCCATGAATAATGTGAGGAAAAATATCGTTAAAGCGAACTTTGTCTGCATCCAATTTAAATTATTTTTCTTTCTTTCAGATGTTGTTGTAGATAGACCATCGTGCTAAAGTAGAATAATGCTTCTCAGATCTGTTTCATGCTTCTCAGATCTATTAAATGCTTCTCAAATCTGTTTTGATTGTGTCATAAATTCAGTAACCCTATAAAGAAATGCTGTCCTGCTGGGAAGATGTGATTTTTATTTCTCCGTAAAATATAAGCTAGTGTTCGTTAAAGTGATTGCATAAATGCATATTAAGGTCACCTTACAGTTTTTATGATAGATATTAAACATTGAAAATGTTAGTTCAAGATAGGGTAATTTGACTTGTGTTTAACTGTGAACAAATGCTTAAGTGACAATGTACGGCATGGTTGGACACTCAATCGAGGGTTGTGAAAGGAAGAAGAAGAAATCGAAGAATCAGAGTAAGAACTTTTCCCCTAAACAGGGAGCTTCAATTAGAGCTGGAGTGATTATAGGAGGTGCAGTGCTTGGGTGCAAGTTGCCTGGTAATGTCGAGCAACCTGACGAGTTGAGGTCAAGCTCTTTAGACTTGGGAGAGGGAGGCAGACTCCTGAACTACAATGATAAATTGATAGTCGGAACTCGTGAACAATCGTACCAGTTGAGTACCCGCGACTTCCCGGCATTTGGACAGAGTTGCAGTAGATCTAAAACTGAGAAGTGTGGGTGGAAAGATCGGTTTAGACGGAAACGTAACGATAGAGAATCTCAGTGTTCAAATTTTGGAGGCGGCAATGGCTGTGTGCAAAACAGTGAACTTAGGAGGCCGATATTACCACGGAGAGACTCGCGAGAGGAGGCCATGGCCAAGCTAACTTTACAAAGTTATTCGACGTCACCGAGTCACGTGCACCGCAAACTTTACGACAGCCCCGGCAGCCGCGGCGACGGTTGTTCAGAAGGAGGTAGATCTCGGTGTGAGACTCCGCTGCGCTTCATCGACGCCCACGTTAATGACGTAAGAATTCCAATAGAAAAAGACTACGTAGAATATGACTGGAGTGAAGCAAAGGCCTTACCATGCGCTTACTCAAGCAAAAGTATAAAATCAAAATACTCCTGTGATGGATTAGCTGTAAGAAATTCTAATTGCTGTGCTCATACCTGTGTGCCATGCTATAGTTACGCCTCAAAAAGATATTGCATTCATTGTAGAAGAGATTTAGATTGTAACAGTTATGTACACGATCATCGATTGGATGCTAACGTAGCTGAACTTCATCACTCCACTTACTCTGAAGTACCAATTCCAGTTGCGTTCAGATCTTCTTTTAGTTTAACAGATAACATATGTGAGTCATCAGCGGGCGTTTCTGATGCTTGCTGCAGCGACCCAAGTCCGAATGACCTGCATGCGAGTTCAGTTTGCCAGACAAACCTCGTTGCAAAATCTCGGTCGGAAAATCTCTTAAGTTCTCTAGAAAAAGGCTCGCCGCGATCATCGACACTCACTAAAACCGAGGCTTTGAGACAGAATGCGATAAAAATCCGGAACAGGGAAATGTTTTCTGACATAAGACCTTCTTGTGACGAGCGCGTGACAAAGAGCGAAGAAAGTGTATTCTCAGGGGAAGTTACGAGCGACGAATTGCGGGAACGTGACAGATCCACGATGAATAGTGCACGGAAGTCGCGGGCCTCGAAGAGTTCAGACGACCTCCAGAGTCAGGCGACCATCACTCATTCCTCGACCCAGACACCAATAATTGAGCCTCAAGAGAAGTCAAAGAAAGAAGATCCCCGCGAGGTTGCCAAGAGACGTAAAGAACGGGAGAGAAGACGGCGGGAGGCGGCCTTACCGTTCATCCAGCGGGTCTACTTGATGATCAAACGCCTCTCTGGAACTGATGATGAAGGTAAGCACTTGAGTAATGTGGATGAAATAATTACTTAGTACAAATAAATCATAAGCTCAGAGTATTGGCTGTAGTAATTTAAGGTTCAAAATTGTAACCAATGGATTCCTCCATAAACCAATGGATTCCCCCATAACATTATTCATATTCAGATTTTCGTTTACGCGAGGCAGAAACTTACTTAACTTCCGGTTCGAGGCAGAAATTTCGAACACGATTCCACTTTTTCTTAACATCTAATGTAAAATGTTCAAATTTCTACAAGATATATTTAAGTAATTCAAAAGGCTTCTCGGTATATAAATGATCATGGAGTTAATATCGGTTTAATAATATCGTAACTCTCCTATGTTCATTATGAAAAAATTACGCGACTAATAAATCATTTGTACTGGTGACCTTCAGAATTTAAAAATTTTTCCTACATCGGAAAACCCAGCAATTGCTTGGATCAAATTACCGTGGACGCGTTTATTCAAGCTCATTATAGTTAGTGAATCCGGCAGAAAGAATAAAATTTACATATGTTGGTCCAATCTTTCAATGAAATCAGTTATAAGCCGTTGTCTAGGGATAAATTAACCGATGTCAAATGTATTTTGTATTGAAATTTCTGGTAAATAGTGTTACCGTGAGAAGGCAAAGAATCTAATGAATCCGTGTGTGAAGGTAGGCTAGCGCTGCCACTGCGCCAGCCATTGCAGGCAAAGTTCCATCACCTCGCGTTGATCAGGCAAGAAGAAAAATGCTCCACTGTAGCAAGTTCCCGCTTGCTCAGAAAGTTAGGAGTCGGGTGAAATTTCTTGCTAATTTTTCAGGATTGGACCTCCATCGTGATTAGAGCTAGGCCATCTTTGAACACGCGAAGCTTTTGGCATGAACGAAGGCATGATTGCGAAGTTCTTTGAAATTAACAATTATGGGATTTTCTTATCACTGTTAGAACTACATCTCTACATTATTTATGATATTTGATTTTGTATCATCACAACTCACATTTATTAGATGATACAACACATTATATGATACATACACATTTATTAGAAAATAATTTGTAGTCTAGGCAATGATTTTTTACTTATCAATCGTGCATTTTAACATTTCTTTTTAACCTTTATTCAGCATTTTCTTTATATATCTCCTTGAGGGATAGCTCCCAAATTTTGCTCCCGACGGCCCAGACGCTCAGTCATAGACCGTCCAAAAGTTTTCTGCAATAAAGCAGGCTGCTGCTCCCAGCCTCTCGAGACTGTCCGCACTGAGTGATTTTCTGTCGAAAGCTTCAATATGAGGAGAGGCCGGAAATGCGGACTCATTGATAACGCTACCGGAAAATCTTGAATCGAAAAAAATATTTATTTGGATTAGAATCAAATACGTAGGTAGCTTGATCTCTATGCGCACTTTGGATTTAAATATCATGTGACGATTAAACACAAATTAGGTACGAATTTGATACAAATTTGGAACGAATTAAATTTCAGACCCAATTTTTTTATCCGATAGTAGTTCTCAATTAATCGAACACTTTTGAATATGGAAAAAATAGAGTGAATGACTTAACTGTGGTCGTCATACTGCGTGAGAATTTCGAGCAAATGGTACCTTAGTGGTTGACTTAATAGTGAGCTGTGAACGCTGTAACTTACTGATCTAATGATTTCATGAATTAAGCATATTTCAGATTTGATGTAATTCGGAGATCTGCTCGAACCTTAAAAAATATATTTCAGTTCTCACTGCAGTGAGCGACAGAGAGCGCATTTCTTCGTCGACCAAAACGTGAAGTCACGGACGGACAGACCGACAGATAGACGGACGGACATGGCGAGCAAAATAGTGAATTTCTTCAATAAATGAGAAAATGCGCTAAAAAGAGCTTAGCGACCAGCCTCTTGATTGCCTTTCTCCATGTAATTCTGCACCGATGATTTTTCAATCAGTTTACGAATGGGTCGAGGAGCTTTAGAAAACTGGCATTCTTTTAGTTAGTTTGTAGCTTAAAAGTTATTCTTGTCTAGTCTCTACAACTTTCTGATTACCTTATTTCTTGACTTCAAAGAAGAAATCGCTCAAATATCAGTACGAAAACGAACGGCATGATATTCTGTCTTAGTTGATTTATCTTTCGGAGGATTTCGAGTCTCATTTTCTTTGATTAAGCAGTTAAATCGCCTTGCCGTTAACTGTTCATCTGAATCAAAGGGTCTTAAGTAGTTTCAGCGTCCATTTGTTTACGTTAAACGAAGAGTGGGAGACGCTACTGCAACCATTAAAAACTTGTAGTAATATTAGCCTCCTATTTTTTTTAACTGCTGATTCTACGCGGCAGTGGTTGTGTCTAAAAAGTATTCTCAAAGTTTTTTCTCTACAACAACCGAAACAAACACGAACAGTTGTGCCTATAAATTCCAAGATCCATGACGGATACTCCTAGCCGGCGCTTCACTTCCTCAAAGCTCGAACTTTCGAGTTTGCCCTGAAAGTTGAGCCAGAAAATCGCTGTGAGGAACACGAAGCTCTTTTTTTTTCTATTTTCTTTAACAAGTTTGTAAGCAAACACCCCCCTCATAAACGGTGCTTTGCCCCTCGCACCGATTGTAAGCTGAGGTACTTGTCGAGAAAAAGTGGAAATTTATCGCGCAGCTCTAGCGACTGACGCCGCTTGTTTCTTTTCATACCTAGTCTTCGATCCTTGGTTGCTGGAGAGTGCCACGTGGATGGCAGGATTCTTGAGAACTTGGCGCTCTGGAGTTTGTTAAGATAAACAATATATTTACATTCAGCTGAGGGGAAAACTGTTACAACTTTACTTTTTCTTTGTTGCAAGAAAAGTGTTGAAGATTAGAAGGCAAATGACGGCATTAATAGATTATTTTTCTGTATCTTACAACAACAAATTTTCTGAGTATTATAAAAATTCTTTACGGGTGAATGTCCTACAATTTTGTTTGATAATTCAAATGGACGTTCGAGCAGTTCGCGGACTTACCAGGGTAGCTGGCCGGTTTAATTAAGGGGAGCATGTAATATTGAAAAATAATGTTAGTCACAGTAATATCCTGCGTTTTGTATTTCACACTCTTTTAACTTATAAGTCAATGGAATTGTTATGATGCGTATAAATATATAATGCGTCCTGTATCAACCAGAAGCAGATATTATTTCAATATTTTTGTGTCTTGCCCCGTGTCCTATCAACTTTTACGTTACTTTCAACGACAAATTTAAATTTAACGATTCTATAGCGACAAAGTTCGCTTCAACAGACATTATTTATAAATTATCAGAAGTTAAAATCAGATAGTAATATTTATTAGTTTAATTCCTAAACAAAATTGTGAGCTATAAACGGTACTCATACTTTTAGTTTTCCTCGTGTCGATTGAGCGAAGTTGAGGTGCAGAAAAATGTTCACGAAAAATGCGGTTCAGTTTAAAGACTATTTTGTCGGTATAAATGGAATGCAACTCGGTCAGTTTAAGAACTTTTGTTTTGCCACAAGTTATTTATATACTCCGGGGCTTTCTCTACAACTTTTTATTTGCATCATTTTCAAGACGGTGAACTTGAAGTTACGAAGTATATTTCGTATATATAGTCATTGAGGCGGAACAGAAAGGAGACTCAGCGTAATGATTTATAACGCGTAACAGATTTACGTGGATGGAATATGTATAATGAACAAGCATAGATGAGATGAAGTTCATCCAAGCATTAAATCTAAATACATTCTGCTCTTGATTTGTATTTTAGGAAAAAAAATAGTAGTCAGGAAACATATAATAAACTAACACCAACTAATTTTATGGAATATCTGAAGATTTTTATGTATATTAGTCTAAGCAACTTCAAAATAAAGAGCTGCCACTACTTTAAATTTCTCACACGTTGCATAATTTCAGCAGAATAACACTGCGCAGGCCACTCAAGTGAAGATTAATTAACGCAAATAATATTTATTCATGATTCTATGAAGATTAATTAAAGCAAATAATATATATTCATGATTCTATTCTGGGCATGCTTTGATGCGGGATATTTAACTCGAGCTGACGTTTTTGTTTTCGGCGCGAGTGTGGCGGCGTCCGCATTGCGCCAGGAGCCGAGAGACTTCTTGCATTTAAAGGAGATCGCGCTGCCTTCACAGACGAGGTGTAGATTTGAGCGCTGCCTTCACAGACGAGGTGTAGATTTGAGCGCTGCCTTCACAGACGAGGTGTAGATTTGAGCGCCTGCCTTCACAGACGAGGTGTAGATTTGAGCGCCTGCCTTCACAGACGAGGTGTAGATTTGAGCGCTTGCCTTCTATTCACGTCGGAATTCTGGGCACTAGGACAGTGCAAGTCATGGTTGAATTCAACCATGAGTGCAAGTTGCCTTTATTTTGGGGAGAGGGAAATGTAGGATATCATGCTTCCAGATACAATTCTACCGCTAGATAAGGATAACGATGGGAAGGATTTAAAATTTAGCATTTTTGTTCGTAGCAAATATGCATGAATATAATCATTTCACACTCGTGTTAATTACTGAAAGATATATACTATGATTTATATTTTTCGTGATCAACTTGAATCGTTAAATAAAAATTCTGCTCTAGTGAATGATTATAAGAATTTATGTCAATTATGACTTTAACGTTGCGGGACCGTTGCTGGGTGACCTTGGTTGCCATGCGACATTTTTTCAAGTGAATGTTATAAAGATTTGATTTTTCAAATAAATTAAAACTTATGGTTCATGACATATCGGCAAAGTATCTTCACTTGACGAGATGATATTGAAAATCCCATAGCAATAAGTAAAAGCAGCTTCAGGATTATTGATTTGACTGACTTATTTAATTTGAAAGTGTGATACCATCATTAATGGGAATCTTTTACTTTTTCATAAAATCCACTCTACGAGAAAGCGACTTACAGAAACATTGATCCATCAAGCGCATCGATTATGCAATAGCTATAGCTGCAGTGGTGCATTCTCTATGGTCTATTCAA